ACCTTCGATAACATCCTTTGTAATTAAAGTCACACCAAGAACAGTTGGAGTCCGATGCATTTTATTCAATTCTAATAGATAATTCAATTCAGCATCATTAGTAACGAATACCGGTGGCATCGGAATGGATGAATCCTCATAACTGTTGAATAGATATCTCAATTGCATATCGTATTGAGATTGATCGACATTCAGCTTATTTTGCAAATCGTGGTACATTTCTAAGTATGGTGTACTCACTGTTATAGGAATTGCAATACAACCACGTATGTCACTCGTCCATCTCCATTCCCACCGATTATTTTCATTCAATTCGAAATCACCGAAATAACACACGGGGATTATCATATCTGCATGAGAAAATGTTTTTAATCAACTTCATTTATTAATTATAAGAAAAAGGCCAACAAAAATCGGTGCAGAGCCGAACAGTCGGTTGTAAACAGTCGGCTGTTAAACAGCCGACTGTTGGCTGTTTACAGCCAAGCAGTCGGATTGTTTCCAACTGTTTGGCTGTTTGTTAAGCCAAAACACCTAGTTTGTTTTTTTGCGCAGGAGAATACGGTTCTAAAGTTATACATCTGTTCAATTTTTTTTGATAGGTAAGATCTGTTTAAAAAAATCTATGCTTACTACTATGTCGACATAAAATTTCTCTATTCAAATGTATACTAATTTACTGAAAACGAAATTAAACATGGGTAAATGTACTTATCGATTTGAAGTAATTGATATGAAAAAAAATTCCGGCTTCAACGTTTCAAAATTTTTCTAGATTTTGAGGTTCAAACAGATGAAAAGATGATAATTTTTCCTGTGTTGGAAGCTCGTTTTGAAGTTTTTATAAGTGGGGAAGTGTTTGATTTTCAATTATTAACTAAAAGGGTAGTATAATCCTTTCAACAATATATTGTTTTGTAATTGTACAAAACATTTAAGGGTATCTTTGTCTTTTACCAGACAAGAGGCCAATGTCATAATATTCATGATTTTGGAAGTCAAAGTAGAATTTAGGTTCTTTGACTGGGTCAAACTTAAAAGTACCCCCTTATAACTTTCGAGGAGGACTCAATTGCAATTTTCCAAGTATTTTAAATCGGTAATTTTTTTTTTTAACTTTTATTAAGGCCCCGTTTGGTACACATTAATGTAAAAATGAAAATGAAAAATATAGTCGTTATGGGTTCACATAATAGATAGAAAGTCAAATATGATGACTTGATATAATGATTAACGGACATATTTTTCATTTTAATAGACAAATAATGAGATCCAAAAGGGCTAACTATACATTTTATTTTAAAAGAAAAGAAAAAAAAAATATATATATATATATATCACTTTATACAGTTTATCTTATTTTGATAAAAAGTTCGAAAATCTTGTGATTGTGTTTGGTTGTACTAACAAAATTGACTTAATATGTTAAGAATAAGTCACAGATTAACATTCAGACTCAAACAAAAACAAAAAAGTTAAGTCTACAGTTATACATATCTTATCTATCATTTATCAATCTTCAATGCATAAGCAAATTTTCAGTGCCTAACCTCGCAAACCATATGGGAAGGTTGTTTGAGAAAGCACGTTGACAAACCAAGTTTTGAATAGAGTTACATGAGACCATCACAGTTGCCATTTTAAAAATATTTTGTCTATCACTTGAAGAGTAAATTTAACCAATAATCACTGAACTTTACACTTGATTACTATTTGCTCACTTATCTTTCACATATTACTGAATGCTCACTCATCTTTTCATATAATTACTCATTCACCACTCGTCTCTTCAAATAATTGGGCTACTTTTACGGTAAATTTTCGTCAACTTCCGACCACAAAGAATGTCGAATTTTGATACCGTTGGAAAGCCCACGATGTCCTCTTCAATTACCACCCAAAATCTCATTATAACTCCAAGGGATTCGATCGAAAAATTGCCTTAAAAGTCGCCCAAAAATTCTGAAAATCTGCCCAGATTTTCAGATTTTTTGGGCGACTTTTAAGGCAATTTTTCGGCAACTTTCGACCATCAAAACTATCTAATTTTGATACCATTGGAAAGCCCACAATGTCCTCTTCAATTACCACCCAAAATTTCCTGATAACTCCAAAGGATTCGGTTGGAATAAACCCACAAAGTCAGCGTCCCGAACTTTGTCCAGATTTTCGCCTTTTCAAGATGCTGATTTTGTGGGTGTATTCCGACCGAATCCTTTGGAGTTATGGGAAAATTTTGGATGGTAATTGAAGAGGACATTGTGGACTTTTCAATGGTATCAAAATTCGATAGTTTTGATGGTCGAAAGTTGCCGAAAAATTGCCTTAAAAGTCGCCCAAAAAATATGAAAATTTGGGCAGATTTTCAAAATTTTTGGGCAACTTTTAAGGCAATTTTTTGATCGAATCCCTTGGAGTTATAATGAGATTTTAGGTGGTATTTGAAGAGGATATCGTGAGTTTTCCAACGGTATCAAAATTCGACATTCTTTGTGGTCGGAAGTTGTCGAAAATTTGCCGTAAAAGTCGTCCAATTATTTGAAGAGACGAGTGATGAATGAGTAATTATATGAAAAGATGAGTGAGCATTCAGTAATCTGTGAAAAATGAGTGAGTAAGTAGTAATCAAGTGTAAAGTTCAGTGATTATTGATTAAATTTACTCATCACTTGAATAGAAGAAACTAGGAGATGGTACTACACTTAACACTCTAGTTACAGTACAGTACTACCTATTGAAAAATGTGACGAGATGAATGCATTATTGGTTCAAGGGGGGGAAAAAAGCCATGCCCCATCGTTGAATTCGAGAGAGTTGAAACCAATTTTAAAAAAACAAAAAAAAAACTTTATTTAAATAAATCTTCGAGAAACAAGAATTTAGGAAAGTTTCTATTTCCAAAATTGTGCAAGGATAACTCTAGGTACTTCCACATATATGACACCTTAAGTCGAACTTTTTCCACCCCAAATGAAGCTTGTAGTAAAGGAAACCGACATAAAGTAAGGTCCCGTTTTGTAGGAAATTTTTGTCCTAAAAAGATTGATTTTTTGACTGTTATTTTACTATTCAAGCCGTAATTTTTGACTTCTTCTCTCACATGTGGACCCTACTTTTCTTCTAACGGTCAAAAAATCAATTCTCAAAATCCCTACCAAACGGGCCCTAAATCTAATAGACCACTGTAATGAAATAATGTCAATTTTGAATAGACATTCTGCCTTAAACCAATGCGTGCGTAATTATTTGATATTGTCCACAATCAAATAAGAGTTATTTGCTAGTCAATGTTTATTGTCTCGCACCTATATATTTATAAAAGAATAATATTATTTGAAGTCAATTACTATCGCAATCGTCCTTCGTGACATATATGTAACAATTAATAATTTATTGCACAAGATATTAAAAAACTACCACATTAATATATTATAAAACTGGTACTAGACTCTCTATCACAAATTAATATTTGTTTTTTCATCAATGATATTTTACGCATTCAAAGTCGACTATGAGCGTGTTTGAAACCATTTTTAACGATAAATAAATTTTAGAATAATAGATTAATAGAAAATGTGTCGATGAAAAGCTTTTAATTTACTTATAATATTATTTTATTATTTCAATGAAAAATGGGTGATGAAAAAAAAAAAAAAAAAAAAAAAAAATTGGGGGGGGAAAAAAAAAAAAAAAAAAAAAAAAAAAAATTGGGGGGGACAAAAATCAAATTATTATAATATAAAAGCTTAATCTGCTTCCACTTGAACCTCTTCGAGCGTAACTCAGCAAGTTAGAAAGTATTAATTTCTCACTGCTCATAAGATAAAGTATTAATCCACTTTTAAAAGTTAATTTCTCCTAATAAATAAGAAAATTACAGATCTGGAATCAAAAATGAAAAACTGAAGGCAAGAAGAACAGATCTATAGTAACTATTTCATCTCACTCTTACTCCCTAAACCTACGAGGACCGTCATCATCGTCGTCGTCATCATAGTAGTCATCATCATCAGTATCATAGTTGTCATCATCATCGTCATCACAATCAGAATCGCCATAATCATCGCTATCCTCACCCTTGACTGGACCACAGCGCCGATCTGCCTCTATTTTGTGTGTAGAGAATCCAATTGCGTGTTGCAAGTTCCGTGGGAGATTCCCGGCATCAGTATTAAAATTTTTCATATCAGATAAAGGATTTAATAAATCCAGCCTTCTCCTTTCAGAGTGAAAAGGATTGAATAATAGTTGTTCCTGATTAGAAGTATTATTGTTGATCATATGCGGAGTGGAAGTGACCGCGGCGGCGGGACGGAGGAGTTGGCGGTGTATTAGGCTTCGAAGTGAAGAATTGCTGATGTTCAGCATTCTCGATGCAGCCGTTGACGCAGCAGAGCTCGCCATTTTTGCTAAGGGAGGGATGATGCGTACTTATTATGTATAGGTCGGCAACACAATTGCACTGGCGAAGGGGTTACCGCTATAAAGGAAGGCGGGGACTAGGGTTTCAAGGAGGAGCTTTGCGGGATAGAGATCGAGGGACACGTGTCACATGAAGACCATCACTAGGTTTTTGCTGGGCCGTAGTTTGCGTCTCATGTGGATTTGAACCGGTCCAGAAGAACAAGAAATTGCTGTGATGGTCCCTAATATTTGTTAAATTAAGTACTCAAGTTCTTACAATTTTTTTCATCTATGAGCACGTGGATTCAGTGGTCTAAGCCGTCCGATTTGATCCCTTTTTAACAGATTTCCGAAGCAAACAGTTTGAAGGAATCTGAAAAAGTCAAAATAAATGATTTGGTCCAATTCTAAATCCCAATTTATTTAGTCATGGTGATAAATGAATGAATAATGCAATGTAAACTTACTTGAATTATAACTCCAGTTTTGGTGGCATTAATTTAAAGCATTACTCCAAATGATTAGTAATTAAGAATCTCTCAAAATGTGTCGATAAATGAACCATAAATAGACTTATGCTAAAGGAAGCATCAAAAGAAATCACGAACATAAGACGGCAAACTCAATTTAACTAACAAGACAAACAGAGAATGAGACAATGGAAACAAAAGTACAATTATTTCTTTGACAAAGTATTGCCAAACAGAACCAAAGGGGTACAAAACTATGGTGCAACATTGTACTAAAACAACATATAACAAAGCTGTAGATGATGACTTTCTGCTACTACATTTGTTATGCCTCATCGTCAACCACAGGAACCTTATTGTACAGTTCCATTTCCCTGAATCTCTGAGAAGAAATCGAATGGCCACCAAGCCTCTGCTGCAGAAAAATGATCACAGCCAACACAATGCCTCCGCAGGGGATTATAACATCCCAAGCAGTGGAGTAAAAATCTGCATTATGATCTGCATAATAGTATGATGATCCATTGACATATCTTACACGACTCTGGCCACGATATAGATCGTAGCCATGGGGCAGCACACGAAACAGTGTCGTCCCGACATAAAATGGACTAGACAACGAACTCTCTCTGGAACTGGAGAATACGTTGAATAAGATTTGAGGGAGAAGAAAACCATCGAGAACAAAACCAGCATAAGACCTTAAATCACCCCACAAGAATTGAGTGAAAGGCGCTTGGTAGCCGTAGCTCTTCCTCGTCCAGTTTAGAAGAAAGGTAAGCAAGCCGCCTATAATGCATATTATCAATGACACTAAACCGGCCTTTTTCTCCCCGACCCACAAACTCTCTTTATTTTCATGACTCGATCTTGCTGTCCATACCAGTTGGAGAAGGTAGATTTGCAATAGAAATGCTACCATAGTTACTATCCGGACAGTTACTTCATTTGCTTCGAGCCATCCACCAGTACGAAGCAACAGCGTTTGCTTATCGTGATTTCCCAAGAAAAGGGCTTCGAAATTTAGGACAAGTGGAATCATATGTCCTACGGAAAGTATTAAGACCATGACAAGAGAAATGTAAGAGAGTACCTGAGGATTCCTTTTGACATGAAATAGTTGCAATCCCACAAAAATGCACGTAAGAGTGTTCGATATCAAAGCCATCGTAATCTCTATGTCCATTCTCCAGATCGACTGCTTAGCTTCTGTGACATAATAGGCAGAAGAGGACATGCTCAAATCCTCAAAATAAAGAGGGTCGGATTTCTTTCTCTTGCTTTTGATGCTTCCCTTGATAAATTCTCCTCTTTTGGTACTGTTCATTGATGGAAACTCGAAATTCACAAGAATCTCGCAGTCAAAGGACTTATTTCTTGATTCCTGAGTGAACGAACTCAATTCTCTGCAGCCTAGCATGCAGAGGTTCCCTGTTTCAGCATCATATATCCCTTCTGCAGTAATCTCGACTTGACCTCGGGGATTCATCGATAAATTGAGAGGCGAAAACCAACTGCCCAGTTTTACTAGCGACAAAGGGTTGATACTCAACTTGTAGCTGATATTCAAAGGGCCATTAGTTTTCTTGTCAGCTTCAGCAGTCGTTTCAAACCCGGCATCAGAGTCTGAAAGGTCTACAATCATACTTGATTGTTCATAGATTTCATTCCCAACAAAGAGGGGTATGGCATTACCCCAAGCAAATTCCTTTTTAGAATGTTTTACAGACATATCAAACCTCATATCATAAGAATGCCCATCTGGGTATTGCACTCCCCCCATTTTGACAGCCCCTTTTACCGGGCATGACTCTTTTACCCGATCGAGTTCAGTGTACTCGTATTTCAATCCTGGGATTGCCGCTACGTCGTTTTCCCAACTTCTGAACATGATCTTTCTGAAGTACCCAGAATCATTGACAGTTTTGTTGGTCCAAATTTGCCCAACTATGTTCGATTTGTTTCTGATCGTCAAAGTTGAAGGGTACCTCAAGCTCAACCTCGTTGTACAATCCCCCACTTTGCTTCCCCAAGTATTAGCCCGATTCAAGATTCGGCAAGCAACAATACAGAGCCTATTATTCTTTGCATCCCAAGATCCCTCCCCAATCAAAGTTGAATTTGGATCAAACCGCCCATAAAATTCAGTGTAACTACTATTTCCAAATTTTAACATGTATCTTAGTTTTTCTTCAACTCCCGAACACTGAATCGCATGCAGGTGCATAAACTTAGGCAAGAATCCTATACTCCCCACTAAATGGGTACAATTTTGGGATGATTTGCACTCAGTAGGATACTCCAATTCAAGAGAGTTGATTCCTCTGTCGAAAATAGAGCAAAAATCCCTCGACTCCAGGCTTACAGACTGGTTTTTCGGGACACCAATATCATCATGACACCCTCCATTAACTTTTTCCGAAACCAATGAGTAAGTATAATCAATCAGATAAGGGAACTCATATATCGAAATTGGTTCAAAATATCCCAAGTCATTCTGAGGATTTATGGACTCCAAAGTACCACTGACCAAACTAGTAGACATATTTGACTTCTCATCAGCAAACTTGAGTTTAAGAACACCGTCAAGATTGAGAAATTTACCTTTTTCAGATTGCCAAGAAGCTGATCCCACCATACAGAGCTTCCTTGAAACCTCCGACCAGAACCCGTTCAAGAGAAATTTGATTGTCCCCGGGGCACGAACAGTTCTATGAAAATGGGATCCATAACTGGAACTGGTATCACTATCATAGTACCTGTACGGCGATCGAAAATATAAGTAAGCTTCAAGTTTATAAACACCCTTGGAATCAGTTTTATAGACATTCCTGGTGGGTCGAAATCGAAGATAACTCCCAGTATAGTCATACACCTGATTGGATGATTTACTGCCTAGAAGCCTGTCACCACCTGTGTAGTAGCCTCCTCTGAATGAAATTACAGATTTATTATGGGCACGAACCGTCGGTTTAGATGTGGGGACTATGGAAGCACAGTGATCAGTATATGAATCTGTTGAAGTACTCTTAGAAGAAGAAGAACCATAAGTTTTACAGAGACTGGTAAAGAAAAAGAAGAACAAGAAAATCTTAAGCCATGAAGAAAACATGGTGAACCAAGAATTCATCGCCACAACAAACTGATCGAGACTAAAACAAAGTAGTGTATATATATTTTTTATTTGCATAATATTATTTTAATAAAAAATGTGTGGTTGAAAGAAAGTGAGAAATAATATATTTTAGAAAAGAGTAATACTATTTAGCCCCATTGGATTATATACCTGGTCTAAGTGGCACAAATGTGACATTTAATGACTCATTTAATTTTACGTTCGTTTAATCCGAGATTACAATTTCAATAAGACTACATAACATTTCTTATTTAGGAAAAAAGGGAATCATACACCTGGGAGAGTGATTTTGAGAATTGATTTTTTGATCGTGAGGAGAAAAGTGAAGTCCACCTATGAGAGAAGAAGTCAAATATAAAGGCTGAATTAGTGAAATAACGTTCAAAAAATCAATTTTTTTGGATAAAAAAATCACTCTTGACTGCCAATCAGTATTTTACTTAGCATTAATGATTCATTTGTCCAATTTTTCCTGCAAGGCTATTTCCTGGAAGTTGCCGTCATTGAATGGGAATTTGCGTCAACGGCTAGGAATCAAGACACCTACTACTTGTATTATCTCTAATCAGAAAAAGGCCCATTTATTGAAAAAATGAAACACACACACACACACTACACAAGCAAAAGTCTTGGTTGACTTGGAATTTTGCCAACCCAAAGAAGAAGCAACGACCAAATAGAAAGAAGCGCTAATTCTTCCCCACTTTCCCCCTCTTGCCAAAGAAAAATGCCAGGCAAATTGAAAAAGTCTTGGTTGACTTGGAATTTTGCTAACCCCAAGAAGAAGCAACGACCAAATAGAAAAAAGTGCTAATTCTTTCCCCACTTTTCCCCTCTTGCCAAAGAAAAATGCGAAGTAGCCCTCTAATAAGGGATGATGCCCGCAATTAAAGGGTGTACACCTAGCATTGTTGCTTGTCAAAATGAAGATTAAATCCCTGTTTTTTCTCAAAGTAAAAAATCAAGAAAATGTGCTTTTGGCTGTAGATTCACTCAAATGAAAACTTATTCTCCTGAAAGTATTCACAGTTTCTCACCATTTGAATCCGTCACAAGCAATAAGGCAGTGAATTCTTTTTTGAGCTTAGAAAATTCTAACAATATTATAATTTGGCACTCAGCTACAAATGGCAATTAAGGTAACATCATTTCATGGTGAAATGGGAAGAAATGCCCTTCAAAATATATTACAAAAGATTAACAATACAAAAAAAGAAAAGGTAAAAGATGCAACTGACCGGACACAACTATGAAAAGTTGAATGACAAGGCAATAGAATATTACAGAATATAGGAAAATAACAATAAAGCTCTTTGTACTACAGCCCCCCTCACATGTTGTCCTCAAGGGTGTACTGTACACCAAGCACATTCCAGAAACTAAATCAGAGAAGGATAAACACAGTTAAAGATACAATATTTAAGATATTTTTATTTACTCAAATGCATGGTGAGCATCCTGAAGTCATTTAACATTCACTGCTTTGTAATTTTAAATACAGCCTAAGAAGTCAAAAACAAAATTCAAGATGAACATGTCTTTCGTGCGAAATACGTAGCCCAAGTCTAAATTGGAATTTTATTGATCTAATAATGTAAGTTTTGAACCCCAGGTGCAGTAGACACTTGTACATTAGTCTTTTGTGCTAAACAGAGGAACTCTTGACAGTCCTTCGCGCCAATTTGAGAAAATGCATTTACTAACGTAGTGATGAACCCTGCCAAATTGGCCTTAAAATCCTGTGAGCAGCTCTTATCACCCTCATCAACGTCTTGAACACCCCCTTTAACAAGACAACCCACTTGAGCGCCTTCTGTATAGGCTTTACATGCTACCAGAATATCACGAGAACGCTTGCAGAAATGCCCTACCACAAAGTCCTCGAAATGCTACAAGCAACACAAAACTCAAATAAGTATAATGAAGTCGTCACCAAAAAGGAAAGAACAAATTGAAATTAACCACCAAAATATGCAAGGATCCAACGTCCTAATAACAACAGTAGTACATAGAGAGAATCTGAATTTCATCTTACCTTCGGTGGCCGCCTCATACTGTACACCATCGTTTGGAGAGAATAGATAAAAGTCTTTTCATTGTATGCCAAAGAACACTTTTCTCCACTTGCTGAACCACTCATATTTGCATATCCGGGCTCATTAAAATAGGGCTTAGCATTCAAAATTAAGCCTTGTATAGAGACCAAAACTTGTAGCATAGTTGATACACCAGGGATCCACTTCTCCTTCTGACTACCACCCCAAGTGTTGAGAAGGCTCAGGCATACTTTGCCACAATTGTACAAATTTGGATTGATGCGAAGTCCACCTGAGTGGTAATGGACATGCTGCAACAAGAAGTGATTTAGGCTCAATGGGAGACAATGTATTGACATATTCAGAGGTGTACAAGCGGACAGGCACAAAAATATCAGAAACATACAGGTGGAACACTGGGATAGCTTCCAGGAAAGAAGACGTCGAAGAAAAAGATGCCATCATGGTATGGAGTTCCTTCTGCTCCTACTATTACAGCCCTCAAAAGATCCATTCTGGATTCATAGACCCGCACAAATATGGTATCTGATAAACCGGCAACACAAATATAGAAGGTGAGGAATGAATTCATTATAGTAAGCTCAGCAAAATGATGGTAACGCCATTAGTTTTAACAAAATGTACAGGGACTATAACTAAATTTGATCAGTTATCATCACAAATTAATCCTGAAATTTCAGAAAACTTACCAGGCAGATCTTTCTCCAGGATCTTCCATTCCTCTTGTATTCTCTTTGTCCAACCCTTTGACGGCTATATCAAACATTAAAGATGATAGTGTGAAGGCATGTGAATATATGCAAAAGATAAAACTAAGGACAATACACGTATATGCATCATGCATCCTTTAAATGTGTGCTTGCCTGTTTCATAGATGAACCATTTTTCAAGTAGTGGTGGTCACAGCAATTTTCAACGGTGTCAAATTGCTTAAAATGATTGAAATTCTGAAGAATTTCTTCCAAGTTCCTATTCTCCACAATGGTGAGCGGTTCTGGAGTTGCTGCAGAAAATGCATTATTTTGGTTCTTGGCAAGATCATGTCCCCATGGAGCAGATGAGCTTCCACCTATAAAACCAGGAGGAACTGGACAAGGTTCCAACACATTCATATTCCATTTCTTCCACGACGGAATCGGCACGAAAATTCCAGCTCCAGGTGTGTGCATTGGATTTAATTTTGGGCAGCTACCACCGCTACCAACTGGCGTCTTCACACTACTGGAAAAATACGTTGAACTGGCAGGAAATTGATTGTATGAACCGAAGGGAGCAGATGGTGGGAGTGGTAGATGAGACTTCCTCCTACCCTTTCCAAAAGAGGGTAAGGAGTCCTTCCCATGTTTAAGATTCAACAAACTACTAGAGATATCCGAAATTGGATAAGGTGTACTGCTTAAAGTGGTTAATTTCTCCAGTTCTGGTTCCCACATAGTTGAAGACCCATTCAACTCCACAGGCTGACTGACTGCATGCACTTGGGTACTGAATTGTGAACTGTTCCTTGAAGTTGATTGACCCTTTATTAGGGCATTTTTCAATTTCCATGATGGGTGAGACGAATTCGTGGCAGGCAGATTGGCATCATTCAATTGAAGTTGCAAAGTTGAGTTGGTTGAAGTGCCTGGGGTCATTAACTTCATGTTATTTCCTGCAGAACTTGGCAACCAGGGAAGTGGAGCCTCTATCCCAGGAGGAATATCTATGTGATCAAAATGTGATTGCAAATCTGTATATTCTTCATCAATGAGATCATCACAATACATATCTATACACTCATCATCTCCGTAGAAGAGGGAGGAATTGAAATCATCTACATTAATAGAATTATGTAATCCAGCAGAGCCATTGTTGGACAACTGAATGCCATTTCCAGATCCACCAGTACCTATACTACTAGGACCCAGCGAAAAGTCGGGCAGAGCTTCCTACAAGAAAAATTAAAATGAATAGATTAGTGCATAGTTATCAACAAGAAACTGCGATGACCAACACTAGATAAAACAAAATTAGCTTGGAGGCTAATAAAATGATTCTAAGCACAAAGCAATAGTAGTTCGTGAGAACTCTTAATTACCTTGCCTTTGCCACTTGTGTCGACTTGCCCATCAATAAGCATAACATCACAGTCTTCATCCATGTCTATGTCTATTATTTCATGACAAATAACCTTCAAGAATTTCGGTTTACAGAAATTAGGATGCCAAACAATGCAAGACTAAAATGACTTATTAACAACAACAATCATGATGATGCTAAAGTTTATCTCTCAGACAGGCCAATCAAAATAACAGAAGTAAACCCAACAAGTACTTTATAATTTTTTTAGTTCAGGCAACAAGCTATAGTACCAATAACCAGAAAAAAGAAAATGGGTTCTCTGTAAATGAAATACAAGATATTTTTCTGTGCAAAAGTTTTCTGCATGCTAGTTAGTCCATCAAATGATAGGGAAAACAGAAAAAAGAAAAAGAAATATATCTCTTACTAGTCACCCATTCTTTAAATCTGACATTCCCTCATCCCCCGTATTTTCTTATGGGCCAAATCATACAAAATAAAGTACCACCAAAATAATAGAACTCTACTTCCAGTTGAAAGCAATTATTTATTGTTTTTAGAAAGAACAGAACATCCACCATAAAATCCTAAAGCACAGGAGGAACGGAGTTATAGACCTAAATCAATAACTGCAGCAACTGTAAGCTAAAAAAGGTGAATGATACATTTATTTATCAATCCACATGGGAAATCTAATATGACCTCCCCAGATTTTGGGAGTAATGGCCAGTCTCACAGAAAAAAGAATTGAAACAGAAAATAACAAATCTTTCATGATTTTTTACTTGTCTCAATACGATCAACAATTATGTATTCAGCAAAACTCCATACCTTTTTGTAAAAAGTGAATATATCTAATTGTTTAGCATTCCCACAAATGTTAATGTTTGTTATACTTAAACCTCTATCCTTCTCAAAACTTTGTTCGTAAGTTATATTGGTCGTCAATTCTATTTTTGGACTTATTCCATTCAGTTGCAATGCTCCCATTAGCATAGGCACCAACTGTTCACATATGATAGTATGCCGTCATCTTGACTGCAAAATTGTCAACATGCAAAACCGTTTTAACTTCTAAAACAGTCAGGTAGGAACTCATCAATATTTCTTAAAACTGAGTCCATCTTCCCCCAATCCAGAAATTTTAGGCACAGATTCCCATATTTATATTTACATCACCATCATAAATCAATCAACTACAAAAATCTATATTAAATAGAAAACTCAGAAATGGGCATCACAAACATAAAACTCTCAATTTTCCTGTACATTAAGCTGTGATAACTGCCAAAAAAAATAAAAAAATAAAATAAAATTGGAAAACCAGCAATGCATCACTACATTGAAACCAAAAAAAAGAAACGGCTTCAGCTAAAAAAACTCTCCATTGCATTTCGGCCCAATTCCATTCTGCTCAATGCGATTCCAATTTTAATCACAAAAAATCCAGGATTCAAGAAAAAAAATCCCCAAAAAAGAACAAGAATCCAATGCCCTAAAAAATATAAAAATAAAAAATAAAAATCCTATACCCACTCCAGAAAGGAAAATAAGAAGAAAACCTATAACCACTTGCTACCAGAATCCAGTGCACAAACGACAAAGGATTTCATATAAGTATATCTTTCACCTCTTTTTGCTTCAATAATTTGGCCTTCGAAGACCGATTAATCGGCGGCGGGATTTCCACCACATCCGCTTCTTGACACCCGCTAGAACTCCCACCCGGAAATACCCTTTTCCTGCACCCATTAAAAATCCACCATATATAAACGCTTCATACAAACACATACAACAAATCACATACCGAAAAAAGAATACTACTTGGAATTCTGGGGTATGTATCGAGAAACAGGCGTAGGTGACTCCATGAAATCAGCTCGTGCCGGCTTCGTAATAAAGAACTCAAAAACAAAATTAGGGTTCGGTTTGGTCAATTAACACCTTTTTCTTGTCAGCGATGGCTCATCCTTTGTCTCGGAAAATTGGAATCGATAATTACACGTTTATAGGTTTCCGATTCCTCCACCAATTATATATAGATATCGATACAAAATGATAGACACAGAAATTCGCTGCGGAACTATCTATAAAATTTTAGAGAGAGAAATAGTAAAGTAGATATTCTTCACTATATATTTAGCCCTTTCCTTTGGAGTTCGCGCACGGTTAAGTACTAACTGTACTATGCTGCTCAGATCGGCGTTCGTAGGTTGCAACGCCAAATGTGTTTCATATTAAGCCCTTCAATTTCTGATATTTACTATTGTGCCATTCGCGAAGGGGACTTGTGGTGTGGGTTCCATTTCTGCATGTAGGCCACGTATGAAGAAACGGATAAACATTTATGTGTTTTTTTATTTAAAAAAGGAAAAAGGCCAAAAGTAGGGCCCACCAATATCTTATGTTGACTCGATAGCTTGGAGCCCCATTCTCTCGTAAAACTTTAAAATTTTCACATAATTCATCAAGAGCATTTTTTTTTTTTTATGCGAGCATTGATATTTTGAAAATCAAGTTTTGCGTTTATTTACAAAAAAATTAGGTTATAATTTCATATTTTAACTTTAATAATAATATATATTAATTTATATATACTCACACCTTATCCTATCCATCCAATTCAAACATTAAATCATTTTCTTTCTTCTTCCTCCCCATTCTCTTCTCTCCCTCTCCCTCTCCCTCTCCCGATCACTATATCCTCTCTATTAGATTGAATCGTCGCCGAGGTATCCAATGCTGAAGACTAGGCGCGGAGCCAACATCTGAAGAGGGGGCGCGACCGCACATGCTAGCTCCGTCGAAATCTTCAAATCCATTGGGTAGCGCCAGTTGTAGATACGCTAGAGTCCGACTATCGCTGGAGAAGGAAGAAGACGAAGAGAAGAGGGCCATTTTTTTATTTATTTTTTTTTTTTTTGGGTTTGGGCAGGGTTCAAAATGTTGGGCCTCTTATTATTAGCCCAATTGTTAAATGAAAATATCCGAATTTATCAAAGTTCAATTACCCAATAAAATTGAATCAAATGCCCAAATAACTCCCATTTCTCCCAAATCGTAGAACGGTGGAAGGTTGGAAGAAAACGCTTTTCCAATTTCTTCAATCTTCCTTCGCCGCTCGCCCTTGCCTGCACAACGCTGCACACGAGTGACGAGACACGACAGTGTTGGAGACCGCCGGTTTCGCCCCTACCCTACAGGCTGCATTGTGAGACACTTCTTCCTTCGCCGCCGCCGGTTCGGCCCTGATTTCTAATTGTTTTTCTAACATGACTTTTGACTTCATTCTGAAAATCTTTCATCTTTTTGAGTTTTGGAATAAAGATAGATATATTGTTGTGTTGTTAGTTGATATACTAATTAATTATCCAATACGCCATAAAATATTGTATCATTAATGAATAGGGTGGATTAAAATTTAAAAGTACAAACTTTAATTAAAAACAAGATTACTGCAATTTTAGTTATCTTCATAATTTACTTCTGTTAATTATTATATTCCTCAAATATTGGACTAAGGGTGAGGGATATAATTAAATAATTGAACAGTGCCAATATATTATGTGAGTGCTTATATTTTTTAAATGAAAATTTTCACAGGGTATGAATCGTATGATTGCCTGTTTGTATGTGCTAACTGCTAAATTGGCAAATTTAAATATATTGTATTGTAATTTGTAGGTGCTAACTGCTCAACACCATTTTTAACGGTTTAAAGGTATCATTTTGGCATGAAATTGGAGCAGAATCGCAGAATTCTTTGTCCACTTGGCGAGCAAGTTCTTTGGTTCACTGGTTGGAGACTTGGAGCCAATATTTATACCAAATGATTCCTTCCTCATGTCAATGACTTAAGTTGATAAGTTGATGTTAAATATGTTGTGATTTATGAATTATGATAAGTAATTTACGTTTTATGAGTTATAATTATTGATTTGGGAATTTATGTTTATGAAATTATATTTGCATTCGTGATTTATGATAAGTAATTTATGTTTTGATGAGGAATGATTATTGATTTGGGAATTTATGTTTACGAAATTATGTTGTGAATTGTGATTTATGATAAGTAATTTATGTTTTGCAAATTATGATTATTGATTAGAGAATTTACGTTTAGGAAATTAGTCAAAGTGAACAAATTTAATTGAGAAGATGTTGGCCGTTCAATTCAACCCATATGTTCTTAGTTAATTTTTTTAATCAATTGTAATTGATCGTAATATCGGACTATTACGATCGTCAACGGTCAACCCATCCTAGCTGGACTTGGATCTTGGATTTGCCGTTGCTGAAGACCACCTCCGAGCACCGCTACGCAACAATGCTGCGAAGAAAAGCTACGCAATGTTGCTGTGGCAATGCCTGTGCTGGCGACATAATCGCGCTGTCGTAGTGATGCTTAGAAGAGAAAGCCACAAGGAGTGGCTTGCCACTGCAGCGACGATCATCGATAGTGGATTTGGTTTTTTTCGTGGTTGAGTTTTTTTTTTTTTAATTGGACGTTGGTGTGGTGGTGCTTGAGATGGTAATGCATCCATTGATGTTGGTGTTGGATCTAGCAATAGTGATGTATATTTATGTGCTAATTTCGTCAAACCTTTTGTCCAATAAGCAAAAGCAGAAGTCATATCAAAACTCTTCTACAAGAAACAATCATAACATTTAAGTTAATTTTCTCTAAAAACCCTTTTAGACAGACATATTTCCAAAAAATAATAATAATAATAATAATAATAAATAAATAAAAATTCAAACATGTACAAAAATAGTTTTTAGCTTTTCAAAAGCCAACCAAATAGATTCTAAGATAGCTTTTCTCATAAAACTCTACTGTAAGAAGTAGAAATCATATCAGACACTATAAGAAGTGGAAATTGTGTCAGACATGCTCTACACCTCCTTTTGACAAACTTTATGGATTAATTTTTAAATAGTGACACTTTATTTGATCATACATTTCAATTTGCTTTCAAATATTATTATATATCCAACATTTAGTTCTATCTTTTTATAAAATTGTTTATACATTCTTTCCAGACAAAGGCTAAGATCAACAAAGTATCTTTTAGAATTCTTAACAAATGACATTTTTGCTTTCACAAAGAATATGCTTTCGTGTACCCCAAAACTTAACGCACTCACGTTGTACTGAAAGAGGGTATCGGTACATCTTAAACTGAAAGTAACTTTTGCTCATATATTCTCTTTGATTGCTACATCCAATATTAAAGATGTTAATACAAAGGCATATGAATATATGCAAAAATAAATAAATATATATGTATATGCGTGTGTGTATATATATAGACGATAGATGGAGACATGGAATAATATGCATCAATTTATGTTGAGCTTCCCTGTTTCATAGATGAACTATTTTTCGAGCCGTGGTCAGAGTAATTTTCAACGGTGTCAAATTGCTTAAAATAATAGAAATTTTGAAGAACTTCATCGACATTCATATGCTCCACATTGGTGAGCACTTCTGGAATTGCTGCAGAATTTTGAATATTTTGGTCCCTTTTCTACTGTGGGGATAGCAAACTTTCAAAGGGACAACATATCAGAACTCTTTTTACAAAGGAAATCCAAAATATTTTCTTAGGCCAAAAAAAATAAAAAAAATAAAAAAAATATATATATAAACATACATATATATATATATACACACTAGTCCTTAGTAGCTCGCAAGAATTAAATCACCGGACGAGAAGTTCGAGATCAACGTAGAAACTAAACTGAACACAAGCTGCCCACTTACTACACTCAAGCACACAAGAAGGAACTATTTCCATATGCCACAACCTTCGGCAATAAAAACCTTGTGCCACATACTCGAGGAAACAAAAGGCACAACCACGTCAAATTTTCTTTTCATGATAAAGCGAACTTATTCATTATGAACTCAAAATTTTTAGAGAAAATGAAATTCGTCACATAAACATCTTGAAAACATCCCATTTAAAAAAAAATATATGCTTTTGATACTTGCATCTACAACGGCAGTGAGAAAGTATCAATCTTTCATCTCTTTTTATTTCAATCATTTGCCATACAAAGCCCAAGTAATCGGGCGACTAGATTTCCATCTACGGACGGCTCGAGTGTGTGCAAGTGATATGATTGCACAGGACCCCAAAATTATAGGAGCACCATAATTATAATTATTTATTTTATATCCCTTTATAGTTTTTGTTAATTTAAAGAATTTTTTTATAGAAAGAACTTTTTTTTTCCAAGTTAATCGAAACGATATTTACGGAAAAAATGGCACAATATAATTATAAAATTGTATTTATTTTTTAATGTATATATAGTTAGCTTGGATAAGTGTCGCGGAATTGATCTTCAATTGTGTAATCCAGGCTCAGTTTAAAGTTACTATTAGATATCAAACAATCAATCAAAGGCTCTGACCCACAACTTGTTCTATCACTTTGGTTGTCACTTCTAATGTACCCATAAGGAATACAAGTATGACGATGGTTTACAAGCTATAAAGGCAAAGAGGAAACATTAGATACAAGGCTGGAAGAGGAAGAACAGCCATAGAGGAAGAGCAGCCATCGTTTTCTCTCAAAAACAAGGCAAAGCGCACACACAGCAAAGGCAAAGGAATGGTAGATATATAGGTTAGTTAAGATTACCACAACTTGGGCGAAGGCCAACACATTAAAATGGCCATCCAAGAAACATAGTGGGCATGAGTAACATTAACTAATTAAGTTGTTTCCAAAGGCCTGAGTTGTTTTCAGGTCGAGCCTTTAGTCTTGATTGTTGATTATCAACACACCGTCGATCGAGACAAATGATAATATAATCCGACATTTCTACATCATCGCTCGAGATTTATTGGATATTAACATCCAACAAATCTCCACATTGATAACCAATCAGCCTACAAGTAATCAAAACATGAAGTTAGTAATTGCATAATCAGGGCAACCAATAAAATTGGGATCATAGACATTACCTCATGTTTCGAACTTGAAACACATGTCATACCCGCTCTATGTACTCACCAAGGCTAAGGTCAAGAAACATTCAAGTAGAAACAAATAATCATAGTAATCAATTAAGAGAAAATAAGCATGCAATGAAGAATTAATATAAGATAATATATAGATCTTTTCAAAACACGTTCACACAAAATAATAAATTAACACCAAGTTAATAAAACAAACTATCAA